ATGGGATCTGATGCCCTCTTCTGGTGTGTCTGAAGACAGCTACATATACATAAAACAATTTTTTTAAATCTAAAAAGAAAAAAGAAAAAAGAAAAACAGGATGGCTCAACAAAATGCATACCCATTGAAGAGCTGACCCTATCACTGCTGACAGCTAATCTGTACGATATCTAGGGAAGGCAGGCAGCTGTCAGTAACAGGTTAGCTATATTGGACCCTTTCATCATGGTGGGAATTGCAATTTGTCCTCTCTAGGAGAGAAATGTTTTTGTTTGGTTTGGTTTGATTTTGGTTTTGATTTTTTAAGACAGGGTTCTCTGTTTAACAGCCATGGCTGACTTGGAATTAGCTTTGTAGACCAGGCTAGCCTAGAATGCAGAGATACACCTGCCTCTGCCTCCCCAGTGCTGGGATTAAGGATGTGTGCTATCACACCCACCTGAGAAATAATTCTCAACAGGAACTTTACAACCATTGAGTGTTCAGTCAAAAGACAGAGGGGTCAGGCTGGAGAGATGGCTCAGTGGTTAAGAGCACTGACTGCTCATCCAGAGGTCTTGAGTTCAATTTCCAGGAACTACATGGTGGCTCACAACCATCTGTAATGGGATCCAAAGCTCCCTTCTGATGTGTCTGAGACAGCTACAATGTACTCATATAAAATAAATGCTTAAAAAAAGAAAGAAAAAAAAAAAGACAGAGAGGCCACATCAAGAACCTAGGCATGGTAGCACATACCTTTAATCCTAGAACTCAGGAGGCAAAGACAGATGATCTCTGAGTTTACAAACCAGCCTAGTTAATCTACATAAGGAGATCCAGTACATCCAAGGCTACATAAAGAAATCCTGTCTCAAGCAAAACGAATCTGAGTAGAGAGCCACATACAATTGAAGAGAGTTAGATGATTCTTAGTAAAGAACAGGATCAACAAAAATAGGAGTAAATACAGGAGCAGCCATAGACCTGAAGTACCATGTTCAAGGATAAATTTGATGCATATTATTCATATTAATATTTTCTGTGTGTGATATATGTATACCTATGAATGCAACTATACATGAGGGTGCATTTACCCTTGTGTACACATACAGAGGCCAGAAGTTGGGTGTTTTCCTCTATCAGTACCCATCCTATTGTTTTTAGCTTTTTAAAAATATGTATTTGTTTGTTTGTTTATTGATATTTTGTTTTCTGTAGGAGTGTGAAATGGCACAAGTATAGGGGTCATAGGAAAAATTACAAGACTTGGTTCAATCTTTCTAACAGGTGGTTTCTTACAATTCAGGTTGTTAAGTTTTGGCAGAAAGTACCTTTAGCCACTGAACCATCTTGCTAGCCCTGAGACAGGAGCTATTATGAGCCTAGAGTTCATCACTTCAGCTAGATTAACTTGCCAGAAAGCCCTCAAGATCTGCCTGTTTCTACTCTTCCAGTACTGGAGTTACTGGTACATGTTTTTGTTTTGTTTCGTTTTGTTTTATGTAGGTGCTAGGGATCTGAACCCAGGTCCTCATACTTATACAGCAAGCATTTTGTCCACTGAGCCATCTCCCTAGCACCTCATGAATAAAAATAATTCCTTCCAGCCCAGCCAAAATAGGATTCAAACATCACTGGAGACAAGCTGTTATGGCCCCAGAATGGATATCATAAGGGATACCATGAGGTAGCTGGTAAACAGAAAACTACCCTTTGGGTTGCAGATGAAATTTATCAGGTTATTTTTGAACCTGCCTCAGCCTTTCTGCCCTAAAAATACAGACAAGCCTGTGTCACCAATCCTGGCAAAATTTATCAGAAAGCTATCTTCTATTTACATGCTTATAACCCCAGCTACACAGAAGGCAGAGGCAAAAGGATCACTTAAGCCCAGGAACTTAAGGCCAGAACAAGTTTTAAAAGCCCGCCCAAAGAGAAGGGAAGAAGAAGGGAAGAAGGGAAGAAGGGAAGAAGGGAAGAAGGGAAGAAGGGAAGGGAAGAAGGGAAGGGGAGGGGAGGGGAAGGGAAGGGAAGGGAAGGGAAGGAGCGAGCCATCTTCTGTGTGCTAGAAGTACCCAGTGCCTGTGGAAATTAACATGGACTCTTATGGGACGCCAAAGAATTTATCAGGAAGCTTCCCATAGTAATCCTACTGAAATCTAGAGAAGATATAGAGAATTGGGATCAGAAGCCCTTTGCACTTGTAAGTCCTACAAACCCACTACTGACAAAAAGAGACACTCGGTAGAGGGCATCTCAAATGTCACATATGACAGTGGGTATGTGTGGAGCCAAGAGGGAATGAACTGCTAATTGGCACACCTTCCTGCTCACATTTTTCAATGCTGGCTGTAGACATAATGCCTCTTGGCTTAAGAACCTCTGTCTGCTTACTTAGTGAAAAGAGGCAGGTCTCATAAATACTGATGCTCCTGGACTTACATCCCAATAAATTCTACGAAGCAAGCAGGCAATGTTCAACTCTAGCTACTGCACAGCCTGCTGAAACCAAGTAAATACTGGGGATAGTGGCGCATACCTTTAATCCTAGCATTTGTCTAGAGAAACAAGGCCCATCTTTAAGTTCCAGGCTTGCCTGGTCTGAAAAGAGAGTTTCAGGACATCCACAGTTACAGAGAAACTCTTGTCTTGGGGGGAAAAAAAATACATAATGTACGGCTTTGGCTTTTATGTTATAAATTGTAGAGGGCTTTTTATGTCTTTTGTTTTTATGTTAAAAAGCCCTCTATAATTGTTACCAGTAAGAAATTAATTAAAACTTATCAATAGAGGGAGCTAGAGAGACAGAGTGGGGAGGGAAGGCTTCCCTTTCAGTGTCTGCTAGACATAGCACAGACAGGCTCCTGGAAAACACTTGCATTGCCTCTACAGATGAGCTGCTTAGACTGCATTTCTCTAGAGCTAGGTGTGTGAAGGGCGCAGATTGTGTAATATTTGACAATGTGTGCTTTCTCTACCTCTGGACTTTAGAAACAGCAGTGTAGTAACTAAGAGCTTCAGAACATGCATCTGTATCCCAACCCTAATTATTGTTCCTGCTTTCCTCCAAGCCCCATTCATGCTTCCACCTACCAGAGTCCCTCAGCACTGACAGACTAGCCTACCTTCACTCCACATAATGGCTTGGAGCTGCCCTGGCGCGGGGTGTCTCTGTCTCTGTCTCTGTCTCTGTCTCTGTCTCTGTCTCTCTCTCTCTCTCTCTCACACACACACACACACCCCTACCATCACTCTCAGCTCTTACACTCCAGGTTATTCTGACTTACCTGCTGACTGAGGACCAGCTCTGGCCCCCTGACCAACCTACTGATTATTATTCTATCTTCCATAGGTCTGATCTCCAGCCTTGGGAGAGAAGGCTCCTTTCAAATATGTTCCTTGGAATTTGTTTTAAATGGCTAAAGTTTGTAGCTATGCGGTGGTGGCGCATGCCTTTAATTCCAGCACTCAGGAGGCAGATGCAGGTGGATCTGAGTTCTAGACTAGCCTGGTCTTCAGAGTGATTTCCAGGACAGCCAAGGAACTCTGGTCTTGAATAACAGTCTCACTAGATACAGAAATATTCTATATAAATGAGCAATACATGATACTTGGTCTCCTGTGGTCAGATAAGACAAATTTGAGAAAAGGGTTTAAAATTGAAACTTAATGAAAGTATACTGTCGCCAGGCAGTGGCGGCGCACGCCTTTAATCCCAGCACTTGGGAGGCAGAGGCAGGCAGATTTCTGAGTTCGAGGCCAGCCTGGTCTACAGAGTGAGTTCCAGGACAGCCAGGGCCACACAGAGAAACCCTGCCTCGAAAAACCAAAAAAAGAAAAAAAAAAGTATACTCTCTCACTGTTAAGCTTAATGAATAAAATCCAAAACAGAAAAATCCTTCCCGATTCCACAATTTAGGATTCTGACAGTTAAGAAGTCTTTATACACAATAAGTGAACAGCTACACCAGGTAGCTGACAACAGGCCTGTCCATAGTGGGTATTCACACCTCTCTCTGAACCAACAGCTAAAAAGCAAAGCTGTAAATGTGTAGACCAGGAGAGCTGAAGTTACATACAGACTTCGTCATTAAGAACTACTTGTCTAGGAATAAAACTCTTAATTAAACATACCAACAAGTAAAACAACAAGAAAAAAATTACCAACTATGACAATAGTAAAGGGGACAAAGAACATGAAATATGTAGAATCCTTAAAAGTGAATTTTGTTTGAAAATGTCTTTCCTCAACGAAGCTCCTTTCTGTAATGTTGATGTGACTTCCCAAATTAGTAACACTGCTACTGATAAATGTTCCAACCATGTGAATCATCTGAATTTGTTATAAAACAGCATGGAGAAGAAAATAACAAAACATTACCCCAGAACCATATGTTCCTCACTCAACAAAATTTAGTCAGCTTGAGTTCTTTATTTGTACCTACCTGCTTCTAAATATAATGTCTACAAAATCAAGACTGTATTGGAATAAATAACCACAGACTAGCACAACACTTCTCATATCTCAGTGTACGTCATCATCAAGGGGAAACTAACAGTCTGAATGTTAGAAGTAGTGAGAAAGGAAACTGCACTTGAATTCTGCCGTCAGAAAACCTGAAATTCAATTCCAACTCCCAACAAGCTGTGTGCAACCTTGAGAAGCCTCCCCCCAACCCTTTTTGCACTATTTTGAGAAACAAACATTCTGTAAGCTCTGAAAACACTGTTGTTAAATCAATACTGAAAATTATAGTTGCTCAGAGAACAAACATTTGGAATAAATGAGTACAACACTGGTTGACACTCACTACCTACTCTTCATCCTCTAACAAGTGCTTAGCACTTCTTGGCCTGTGTCTTCATTCATTTATTAATTTTTTTTTAAAATCTACTCAGGCTTACCAGAGAACCAAATAAGATACTGAATTATTATATATATCATGAGCTTTAATGCAGAATCTAAAGTCTAGACCCTTGAGCAAAGTGATTACTAGTAAAAATGGCTACTACATGCCATCCTTTTGTTGTTGTTCTTAAGTATAACTATTAGGTGTTTACACCACTGTATGACACATGCCTCCTTTAACCCTCATTATGACACTATTAAATTATTCATCTGACATGGGGAGGTGCTATTTATTACAATTATTGAAAATACAGGGGCTCAGACAGATGGCTCAGTTGTTAGTAGCACTGGCAGCTCTTCTGGAGGACCTGGTTCTGTTCTAAGTATTCACATGATAGTTTACAACCCTGTAACTATACGTTCTCAGGGATACAATGCATTCCTCTACCCTCTGTGTGTGATACATACATGTGGTACAGACATACATGCAGGCATACACCCATACACATAAAATAAAAATTGTTTTTTTAACTGACAAAATGTAGCTCCGTTGGTAAAGTACTTGCCACACAAACACGAAAACCTGAGTTCAAATCCCCAGCACCCACAGAGCAAGTCCAGGAGTACAGGCCATATGAGATCAGTATAATGAACACAAAAATTAAGTGAATGAAACTGTTTGTTTCAGATCATCCCTTATCCTGAAGCCAAGGCTTGAGGTGTCAAATTTGCAGCCACTGTCCTGCCTCAGTCTCCTGTGCACTAGGCTTACAAGTATGCATCACCATACTCATTTTACTGTTTTTAATGTTTTTCCTGTGCTGTGGAATCAACCCAGGGCTCCTCCCATTTGCAAGTGCTCTGCAACCGACTACATGCCTGTCTTAGAGTTTTACTGCTGTGAACAGACACCATGACCAAGACAAGTCTTACAAAGGACAACATATATTTGGGGCTGGCTTATCGGTTAAGGTTCAGTTCACTGCATGCCAGAACCTGTGCAGGCAGAGCTGAGAGTTCTACATCTTCATCTGAAGGCTGCTAGTGGAAGACTGACTTCCAGGCAGCTAGGATGAGGGTCTTAAGCCCACACCCAGTGACACACCTACTCCAACAAGGCCACATCTCCTAATAGTGAAAATCCCTGGGCCAAGTACACACAAACCATCGCAATGCCCAATCCTTAAAAACATTGTACAGCCGGGCGTTGGTGGCGCACGCCTTTAATCCCAGCACTTGGGAGGCAGAGGCAGGCGGATTTCTGAGTTCGAGGCCAGCCTGGTCTACAGAGTGAGTTCCAGGACAGCCAGGGCTATACAGAGAAACCTTGTCTCGAAAAACCAAAAAACAAAAAAAAAAAAAAAAAAAACATTGTACACATTTACTGTGTACCATGTAATGATTCTGGCTTAGTTTGGTTGAGGTTTTTGCTTTGGTCGGTTTGGTTTTTTGGGTTTTTTTGAGATAGGGTTTTTCTGTGTAGCTTGACTGTCCTGGAACTCACTCTGTAGACCAGGCTGTCCTGGAACTCAAAATCTGTTGCCTCCCCCACACACACACACTGCTCAGTTGCCATATGATTTTTTAATAGAAGGTGAACACAATTTAATGTTTCGGTAGATGGCATACACTATTCTATCAGTAGATGACACACACGCACTGTGATGTTCAGGAATATGTGATATACGCTGTGTTCAGTAGTAGATGACATACACTGCGATGTTTCAGGAGATGGTATACACTGTCATGTTCAGTAGTAGATGGCATACATCACCATACTTTGGTAGATGGTATATCAAGTATATATTATATAGTATATTTCAAATCCTTCTAGGGCTAGAGATGTCATTCTTGCTAAGCATGCACAAGACTCCTCTGATCCCAAGATCCTTAAAAACAAAAACAAAAAATCTAAGGTAAAGACAGAGGTTAGAAGGGAAGAAAGAAGTGAAAAAAGGAATAGGGAAAATTCTGTCTTTGGAATGTGGTATAGTGTTACACATTTGTTAATTCCAGCACTTGTCAGGAAGTCAAAGGACACAGGGATCAAGACCAGCCTCAACTACATAGGGCAGTGGTCCTCAACTTTCCTAATACCATGACCTTTTAATACAGTTCCTCATGTTATAGTGACCACAAACCTTAAAATTATCTTCATTGCTACTTCATAACTAATTTTGCTACTGGTATGAATTGTAAATATCTGATATGCAGGATCAATGACTCCTATGAAAGGATCATTCAACCCCCAAAAGAGTAGTGACCCACAAGCTGAGAACCACTAATATAGTCTGAAGCTAGCACAAGCTACATGAGACCCAGTAAATAAATAAAAAACAAAAAAGAAATTTTTGTGACTTCCTTAAAATATATGTTACTGTTCTCTGTAGCTGACATTTTTACAACAAAACCCAAATCTTATTCCTACCATCTAACTTGGTTAGTCAACCACTGACCAAGCTCTTTCAACTGTCTCTCCTCCCTACTCTCCCAAAACTCCATTCATCAAACTCCCTTAACCAAGTTCAGAGCCATGAAATCATCAAGCTGGCAAATGAAGACCAAGACTATGAGCTAGAACAATAAGCTTGATGCTGCAATCACCACCCTGGTAACTTTTTCCTCCTCTGACCTCTGGGGACTTTTCCTACCACTCTGGAGCTTATATATTGTTCTGAGGGCTGTTTGCTACCTTTTCAACCAATCACTGCTTTTGTTTTTTTTTTTTTTGGGGGGGGAGGACTATGTACATGTTCTTCTCTGTGCACACTTATGTGTGTTCATATAGAGGCTAGAGGTTAATGTCAGGTGTTTTCTATTAATCTCCACCTTATGCTTTTGAGAGTTAATTCTTTTACGTCTCACACTGAACTTGGAGTTCACTGATTCAGCTAGACTGGCTGCCTGCAACCATCAAGGATCTGCTCTATGTCTGGACACATTATACACACACTGGAAGGAGAAGAAATGTCCCAGTGCACACACATGCATACAATAGAGCAGCACATACACATAACTCAAAGAGGGCAAGAAGAGTGTGATATGCCCCTTCTATTTTCAGATGAAAATAAGATAGAAACTCACAGCCCTTTCCCCTTATTTGCTTCATCTTGGGCAAAGGCCACCACAGGAGAAAATGAAATAATTCAGGATCAGCTTCTCCCCCACCCCCTTTCTCTTGTCCTCTACCTTTAGTCCTACTTCTGCTTGAATGGGGCCAGAACATGTATAGGATGTTGCACTTTCGTCAGGCCTAAACCTGGAGCCTAGTCTAGAAGGTCGAATACCTCCTCCCCAAGGAGATGTAAACATTATGTATATAGACATTATGATTAATCAATGCCAGTTCTGCTCAGTCCTCAGTATAACTTCACGTTTTATAAAATAAGCAGTGACTATACATTTGTTTAAAGTCTCGGATTTATGAATGGCATGTGATATATACTTTATCCTACTGTGACTATCTTACCTACTATATGTCTATGTGTTTTATACACATATCACAAAGCACTTTATCCCACTGTCTCACTAAATATGAATGTTCTGTAATTAACTTATTTTGTACAATATACCACTGACATTCTCAATGGTCATATTAGAACTTTTTAAAATTAACTATGAAAATGGCCAGGTACTTATCTGCACAGAGATAAACCCTGCACTGAGAAGGCTGAGACAGAACAAGACTTTCAAAGCTAGCCTGGAGTATAAAACCAGACCTTGTCTTGGAAAAGGGGGAAGGGAGAGAAGGGCAGTGAGGGTAGAATAAAGCAGAGCATGGTAGCTCATGTCTTTATATTTCAGTACTTGGCATCGGGAGATAGCTCAGTGGTTAAGAGCACTGACTGCTCTTCCAGAGGTCCTGAATTCAATTCCCAGCAACCACAAAGTAGCTCACAACCATCTGTAATGGGATCTGATGCCCTCTTCTTGTGTGTCTAAAGACAACTACAGTGTACTCATATAAAATAAAATAGATTTTTTTTTTTTTTTTTTTTTTGGTTTTTCAAGACAGGGTTTCTCTGTGTAGCCCTGGCTGTCCTGGAACTCACTCTGTAGACCAGGCTGTCCTGGAACTCAGAAATCCGCCTGCCTCTGCCTCCCAAGTGCTGGGATTAAAGGCGTGCGCCACCACCGCCCAGCAAAATAAATAAATCTTTAAAAAAAAAATTCAGTACTCAAGACACTGAGACAGGCAGATCTCTGTGAATTTACTGAGAGCATGGTCTATATAACAAGCTCCAGGACAGCTAGGGAGGAAGGAAAGAAGGGAGAGAAGGAGGGAGGGAGGGAGGGAGGGAGGGAGGGAGGGAGGGGACAGTAAGAGAGAGGGAGGAAACAGAAAGAGAGAAAAAGAGAGAGAGAAAGAGAGAGAGAGAGAAAGAAAATCAGCAACAGCTCCTTAAGAAAAATACATAACTAGGGCAAGAGAAATGGCTCAGTAGTTTCAGAACATGTATTGTTCTTGTAGAGTCTAGAAATAATTCAAAAAGAAGGTCTCAGCCTTCTGGAATACGCAGATGTAGCAAAGGCCGACTGTAAGCTTAAATTTTTTAAACTCTATTTTTAATAAGGGTTTTTAAATGTTTTAACCTCCCTTCTAGCCACCAAAGGTAGTGGGAAGAAAGGTTATTAAGGTGCAGTGGTGGCACACGCCTTTAATCCCAGCACTTGGGAGGCAGAGGCAGGCGGATTTCTGAGTTCGAGGCCAGCCTGGTCTACAAAGTGAGTTCTAGGACAGCCCAGGATATAAAGAGAAACCCTGTCTTGAAAAACAAATACAAAAAAAAAAAGATGTGTGGGAAGTAGACCTGTTTAGAAATTGTTCTTTGGAGTAAATCCCATCTGTGTTGTTAGAAAATCAGCAGTTCAGTTCAGTTCACAGGTCAGCAGCGACAGCTCAATCCACTTGCAAACATTTCACAAATATATACCAGCAGTTCAGTTCAGTAGTGTTCTGATAGCAAAGACGAGTCAGCAGCAGTGGCACGACCTAGCAAAGACAGCTAGGTCTCAGCCAAATCGGCAAAAGTCAGCAAGAGGGACCAGGACCATCAAGGACAACATGAATTCCTTGACGTGCCTCTCTTAATGAGGGGAAGATTAGCCAAGATGCAAGACCAAGAAGTACTGCAAAGCTAGCTATGCAAGCATGCCCCTCTTATAGTGAGTCCTATTTATACTCCCTCCAAAAATCAGGTGTCCTTCCACAGGTCTGCATCAGCACATGAGTCTGTATCAGCTGACATCACTCTACCAATTGGCCAGAGTCTGTA